ATTCATACTTAAACTTTTTTTAAATTTTTATATATTTTATTTTATTATTTTTTTTGTGGTTATATATATAAATATATATTGTGTGTGTGTTTGTGTGTGTGTGTGTATATATATATGTATGTGTGTGTATGTATATATGTGTGTGTGTGTGTGTGTGTGTATGTATATATATATACAGTGTGTGTATGTATATATATATATATATATATATATATATATATATATATACTGTATATCTATTTCAATATTATTTTTTCTACTACTATTTTTCTTCTAATAATAATAATTTTTTCACTTTGTTTTTTGGTAATGGTTTGTACCATTGGTTTATGTAGCGCAGCATTTTTTCATTTCATTTTTGATTGTATATTTGCCCCACTGAGACATGGGTTAGTTAGCGCTTAAGTTGTTCAATATATATTTTAGATCACATTTTATTAGCCACGATAGAAAGTAAGGGCAAATCATTAAGGGAGACACAAATGGCAATGAAAACCTGACCAGAGTTGTAGCCTTCTCCCACTTTACCTGCATCCAATAAACTCATACATGGTTTGTATGACCTATACCCCTGTAAAGTCTGGTGGTTGCCCTGAGTAATGACAAGCTCTTTTTTTATTTTATTATTTTAAACTCTTATCATTTGGTGAGCATGAGAGTTAGTGTTCCTGTTAATTACACTATTAGTGATACCACAAAATGCTGTTTTGTTTTTTGGTACTGGACCGTATTTGGACAAAGCAGCTTGTGTTGGATCCAGAAAATTGCATGTGACTATGACTATATTTGAGTTCACTTTGTTATTTGTGTATATATCAACATAGTTGATGGCAAAGTCTGTTGCAGATTGGGCTTCCTGCAGCCAAACAGGAAAAGTATCTTCTTAGTCTGTGCATGCATGGCCAGCTTTATGCTGGCTTGCCACTAAACACACTCTGGAAATTACACGCAACATTCATTCTGTGCTAAGCAGAATGTGTTTGAGTACTTGAAGCTAATTCCCTAAAAAGGACTGTTACTATGCTGGATGACTCCTTCAGACCAGGCTTTACAGCAAATAAAACAGAAGTGCTATGCTTGTGGTTGTTTTTTGTAGGAACTCTTAAAGTGGTTGTAAACCTCAGACATGAAATATGAACAAAGCGTATCCCTGTATAGGGTGTGCTTGTCTAAATCAAGAGCACCAAGGGTGATCCCTAAATTCTTGAATGTTTGGAGCCCCTGGGTAGAATGTTTTCTCCCACCTAATTTTGACGAATCCCTTCTTCTTCCTTGATTTTCGTACTGAGTGCCTTGGACATTGTTCTTGGCCCACCCTATATGATGCCCGCCTGTTACCATGCTCCTCCTTACCGCTCATGGAGTCACTGCTGTCACCCTCCCCCTTGTCCTCACCTACCCCCTCTTCTACCCTCCTCTAAAGCCCCCTTTTTTTTCCACAACGTACCAGTGAGTCATTATCCTAACTGATCGAAAATATGAATCCATCGTTGACAACCCCCGACTTTTTACTATCTTTAGAAACTTTGCATTGTTTTTTGCGATATATTGTTTCGTTCTCATTATTGTGACTCTGTCATAGTGTTGTCTATTCCTAACATTATGTTATCAGTACAATTTCTGTTGTATATTGATGATGTCTCTCTGCCCCTGTTACATTGGTTTTACTGTTAATAAAAAGTTTGAACAAGAGCACCAAGGGTAATTTCTGTCTCCTATCTAATTCCTCTGCCATCAGCATGAGCCACTTCTGATGAGTTTTCCTAACACCAAGAGCAAAATGGTGATGGGGAGGGCACAGCCTGTGATTGACAGCCTCAGCTCTGTTCCTGTGAGCTGGGTGAAGGAGGTGTGTCCCTTCCAATCAGATCTCAGAGGTCCCCTCACTGAGTGTAATGTCTGCTCCTCCCCCTGCTTTTCAGAGCTGAGAGATCCTGTGTAAATTCTGCACTTTGAATGGATGTAGAGAAGAGAGCTATAGAAAGGTACAATTTATATAGGAATTTTTGTTTCATCTAAGGCCAGTCACTTCATTGGGTATCTGTAAGGGTTTACAACCACTTTAAATGCCTCACAAATGGTGGTACAAAAAACAGCTTTAACTATAATTCTCACTTTCAGGGCCAGTTAACACCACAAAAATGCACTCCGGATGCATTCCGGATACGTCTTTTGCTTACAGTTCACACCACACACCATTCCAGTGCAGTTTTGATGCAGTTTGCTATGTTCCAGTACAGTTCTGTGTAGAAAAAAATGCAGCGTGTTCTACTTTTTTTTCTGCGCCGGAAACTGACTGGAACTGACTGCACTAGTGTGATCTAGGGCCATTGGAATACATGGAAAACACTGTGCATGCATTTTTGATGCATAAAAAAATGGAACTGGACTGCATCTAATGTGAAATAGCTCTCAGTCTGGAGCTGTTCTCCACAGTACCACTTCTTCACAAGTCTTCTGGACTGAATGATACTGGACGTCTTTTGAACCAGTCATAGCTGTTGAATTTAATTATATTTTAATTACATTTTAATATTTAAACTTCAGCTATCCCTTCATCAGTTCAGTTGGAGTATCCCTTATTAGTATAGACTGGGGAAAGAATATGAATACAGTCCTACCCCCTGAGCATGGCACCATGCACTTAGATTATATTGATGCAAGGAGCGTTGCTAATGTAATGACCTTGCCACCACTCTCTGCATCATCCAGGAGCTTCCACATCCTTGAGAAGCTGCAGGGGCAAGACTAGCCAGCCAGTCATGTGACCAGATAGGCGACATCCATAAAATGTGAGAAAAAAAAATTACTGCTGGGATAAGGGGAGTAAAGCCATTGGGGGGACCCAAAGCTAAGAATTATTTATACACTCTACCCAGAAGCAATAAACCAAGAAATGCAAAGTCTACCCTAGTTGCTTTAATAGATATTGATATGTACAAACTTAATGAATGGCAAGTGGGTTCCCAGTTGCATGAGCCAACTGTGAGAGTGGTTAACTTCACAGATAAATGTCTTTGTTGAAAGAATTGACAGGCAATACTGTCTCACCTGAATCACAACACAAAATGCCAGAAGTCCAGTGAATGCTTCCAGCATCCTCACTTAATGGGATTAATTTAGTGATTACAATTTTAAATCCTCCAAAATTCAAAGGACCCTGTGCTAGTTCAGGAAAGGATTACACATAATTACATTTTATTTTCACATTTTGATACACTATTAGGCTACATGGATTTTTTTTCTGGAGGGGATAAGGTTTTCATACGCATAAGTGTACCGAGCAGGAACTGGAAAAACATTTTGTTTATGGCTCAGAAGGTCATCTGCTAAAACAGTGGGGAAAGTTACACAAGAGGCAAAAAACTATGCACAGCACAAATTTAGTGAGCGCGCTGCAGCTGCAACAGCTGGCCTCATTCATATGGTAATGGTACTTTTATGTTCTACTGAGTTGTAAGGCAGAATCTTTTTATATTTACCATTTGCTCTTTGCTTTAAAGACTCCTGCCCAAACTAATGAGGGGATCGCTGAAGTTTAATTATTAAAATTGAGTTATAATAAAATTAGATTCACCAACGAATGCAGCCAGAACTCTTCTTGGATTCTTGCTTTATTATGCTAGAAAGGCAATTATTTGGAAATGAAAAGAATTCTCTTCTAAAGCTTATGTTCCAGAAGTCATTAATAAATGCAGTTTACCATTTGCTCAAGGATGCTTATCCTCTGTGAGGATGCCCCCCCAAAAAATGTAATTCGGAGTTATGTCATTGGCTATAGGCTCCTCTACAATTGCTCAAATGTAAGTAATTTTCATGTTTGTAATCTGTTTGCTGCTATCACAATAATCTGAAAGGTTAATTGGCTCCTGTCTAAACTGGCTGTAATATGTGTATGCATGCTTGTGAATAGAGACATTAGATTGCAAGCTCTTTGATGGCAGGGACTCATGAGAATGTACAACATGAAAAGTGCTGCTTAAATTGTCAGAACCATATAAATACATATAACAAATAAAAAAAAAATCATATTTTTGAGAAAATTATCGCATAACCTTCTTTTTTGGCATGTCAATTATTTTTTATTTAAACACCACCGTGATTAGATCCTGGTATCTATAATTGTGGTCTCCAAACTAAACACAATATTATATCTGTCTTTTCATTATTATGGATAAAGTGCAGTTGTGGGGAAAAATTAAATGTACAAGAGAGCTAAGGCCTCATGTACACTGCTGCTCCTAAACGTGAGTTTAGGAGCTTTTGGCATTTGTTTGCCAAAGCCCCTGAACTCAATGCAATAAAAGCCTGTGTCCATGTACACATAGGCTTTTACCAGAGTTTAGAAGTAGCAGAGTTTAGGGACAGTTAAACATTCTCTTCTGAATGCAGAATAATCGTGTTCAGGAGAGGAACATTTTGGCCAAAAAAATGCTAAACGCTGCAAAAACGCATATAAACACATCTAAACGCTAGCCACATTTAGAACTTTGGCGTTTTCCATTGATATGGATAAATACTCTGGCCAATCAAATGAATAAACATCTAAGTGCTAAATGCGGATACATGCGGGTGAATGTGGTACTGTTTACATGTGTTTTTGCTGCGTTTAGCTTTTTTTTGCTGCCAGGAGAGTTTAACAATTAGGTGAGTTCATATGTACATGAGGCCAAATAGTTTTCTATTCTTCAATCTGTTACGTTGTATGTTTTGGTATTGTGTGAAACACTTAGGCTTCATGTACACGAGCAGCTCCTAAACTCGAGTTTAACTTGTTGCCGACCGCAGATAGCCGAATGACGGCTGCACTGCGGCCGGCCAGTTCTGAGTGGACGTCATATTACGTCCTCCCAGAACGCGCTCTCCTGCGCGCCCCAGGGGGGCGCGCACCCGGCGATCTCCGTGATCGCTGTGTCCTACGGACACAGCTGATCACGTGTTGTGGTAAAAGGCCAATCACAACGGCCTTTTACCACGTGATCAGCGGTGTCCAATGACACGCTGATCAGAGGGAAATGCAAGTGCCGGTTCTCGGCTGCACTTTCCTCACGCTGTCAGATCGTGAGCAAAGTACTGCCGAGAACCGGCAGTTGTCAGAGCGAGGATCGGCACCGATCATCAGGGCACTGATGATCAGTGCCCTGATGATCGGTGCCCAGCAGTGGCACCCACAAGTTCCGCCCACCTGTGCCCAGCAGTGCGCCCACTAGCTCCGCCCACCTGTGCCCAGCAGTGCACCCACCTGTGCCCAGCAGTGCACCCACCTGTGCCACTCTGCAGTGTCACACACCTGTGCCCAGAAGTGCCACCTACCTGTGCCCAGCAGTGCCACCCACCTGTGCCCACCCACCTGTGCCCACCAGTGCCACCCACCTGTGCCCACCCACCAGTGCTGCCCACCAGTGCCACCCACCAGTGCAGCCCAGCAGTGCTGCCAGTCAGTGCCACCAGTCAGTGTCCAGCGGTTGTGCCAGTCAGTGCCCAGCAGTGATGCCAGTCAGTGCCGTCTATCAGTACCCATCATCAGTGTCACCTATCAGTGCCGCCTATCAGTGCTGCATATATTAGTGCCGCCTATCCGTGACACCTCATTAGTGCTGTCTATCAGTGCCGCCTATCCGTGCCACCTCATTAGTACTGCTTATCAGTGCCCTTTAGTGCTGCCTATCAGTGCCCATCAGTGCTGCCTATCAGTGCCCATCAGTGCTGCCTCATCAACCACATCAGTGAAGGAGAAAAATTACCTGTTTGAAAAATTTTATAATAGAAACAAAGAAACTTTTTTTTTTCAAATTTTTTGCACTTTTTTTATTTATAGCGCAAAAAGTAAAGCGCCCAGTGGCGATTAAATACCACCAAAAGAAATCTCTATTTGTGAGAAAAAAATGATCAAAATTTCATATGGGTACAATGTTGCATGACCGCGCAATTGTCAATCAAAGTGCGGCAGCTCTGAAAGCTGAAAAATGGCCTGGTAAATAAGGGGGTATAAGTGCCTGGTAGGCAAGTGGTTAAGAGCTTTTGGCATTTTTTTGCCAAAGCTCCTAAACTCAACTCCATAAAAGCCTATGTGCCCATGCACACATAAGCACAGAGCTTAAACTCTGCTAAAAGTTTAAGTTAGGTTAAACCTCCCTCTCCTGAACGCGGAAGAATTGTGTTCAGGATAGGAACGTTTTGACCATCAAAAACTGCGGCAAAAGCGTAGCAAAATGCAGCAACCGTGGTGCTGTGTTTTTGCAACGATTTTGTATTTTCCCACGGCTGCCGGTCAGGGTAGGCTCATGTACATGAAGCCTTAAAATAAGTGACACATTTTTAAGTGGTAGTAAAATCTTGGAAAAAAAAAAAAAACTGTTCCCCTGCATGATGAGTTAGTATGTATCGCATGTCCAGCTCATTATGAATGACTTAGCTTTAGACTTGGCATTAGATGAAGCACTCCAGCAGTATACTGTCATCGCTGACAAGGCTTCCATCTTCACCTTCAGCCATTTGAATTGGTGAACCGTAATGACATCACATCCTGCACGGGAGCTATGATTGCGGCACAACGCACTGAAGGGACAGCATATTCAGTATGCTGTCCCTTGAGAGTGCAGTGCACATGCATCTGTGATGTCATTGACTGCAGAAATAGTGGTTAGCTCCTAAACAGTACACATTTAGGAATTATTCCTTGTACCTACAGGTAAGCTTTATTACAAGTCACCAATGAGTGTTTACTACTGCGTTAATAAAAAAAAAATTACATTGGCAGCACTTGTTATATAAACATATTTAGTAAATATAATTAATACTGATGAGATGAATTATTGATACTGTTTTAAAGGATAAGTTCACATTTTTAACAAAAAAATAAATGCACATTTTTTCACAGGAAAAAAAAATATGCATTTACTATTTTTTGTTTTAGGAGCCTGGAAAGCATTTCACCAACGATCAGCAGTTCAAGTGCTTTCATTATCCTTGCTTGCTTTTTGTTTCTATTTTTTTTTTTTATAGAATGGAGAGGGATTAGAGCCCCTGTCAGGTTTTTATTGCTGTTTGTGCCCATGTTAGGGAAATTCACCCCTCTACTTGTCCTGTTTGAGATTTTCTTTTACTTGCACTTTCAGTAATACTGTCAAATTGTGGGCTGTCCCTAGAAAAGTAATAGAGGAGAAATCTTCCAATGGAGATGCTAGTTCCAGTGACCTGGGGGACCCCAAGGAATTCCTTTTAATTTATAAGGATTTCCTTTCACTTTCTGTTTGGCTCTGGGACAGGAAGTGAAGGGAAATCACCCCTATGGGATACGGCAAAAAAATCTGACAGGAGTTATAACCCTCCTTTTACTCTACCCAAAATGAAAAAAAAAATTGTCTATAGTTCTACTTGAAGAGAGAAGGTGCAAGATCAGAATAGACAAATAGGAGAATAATGCATTGCCAATGGATGGTTATTGGCTCCCATTGGGGTGCAAGGACAGGGTGCACCTGGGTTTCATCAGAATTGTAGAAGGTACAAATGAACTTATGGGACAGGACAACTCCTATTATGAATACCACACCAGTGCCTAGCTGGATGACTGTAGACAGATAGGCAGGCACAACCGGATACGCATTAAACAGCAAGGGTCAGTAACAAAGTTAGTACTAGTGAGCTACAAGAATACAATCAGAATATTCAAGGCTGAAAGGTCTAGACCAAATGCAGGAACATACAGAGGCTGATTACTAGAGTTAGTAAAGACCATCTTACACAGATGTACTAGCACTGTCTGGTGAAGGTATGAGCAAAAATAAATGAAACATAGCATTGACAGGGAAAACTTTCCAGATTTGTAACTAGATTCTGTGCTGGCACTTCAGAAGATATCCTTTTTTTCTTGGCCAAATACTCATTTTTCTAAATGTTCAAAGTAGATATAAACCTTAGAGGAGATTTAGACATGCCTCTAAAACTCCCTTGCCTCTGAGGCCCGATTCATGTTCAGGACGTGCTTCAGAGGCTACTGGCAGGCGGTGGGGAAGTGATGTAACTCCTACTAACCACCTGTTTTTAACCCTATGAATGAAACGATGAAATCTTGTGCATTGCAAGTGGTTGCAGAGTGTTTTCAGCACTTCACCTTTGAGTTGAATGTGTAGCATTCGGTGGGCATGCCACCCGCCGATCTCTACATGTTGGGTGAACTTTGCCATGGGATGAAGCAGCGCATTGCAGCCACAGAATGTAAACTAAAAATCCCCATCAGCTGCCTATTGCATTGTTGCACCCCCCAACCGCAAGTGTAAACGAAGTCTAAAAGTTCCTGTAAACCTACTTAAAAAAAAATAAACATGACATACTTACCTGCTCTGCGCAATGGTATTGCACAAAGTAGCCCTGATTCTCCTCTTCTGTGATCTCCCGCCAGCGTTCCTGATTCCACCTTTTTGGCAAGTACTGGGCTTGATCCTGAACCACACTGCCTGCATCTATAGACACAGACAGTGCATCTCGGCCCCACCCTTTGCTCCCTTGTCCTATTATTTGATTCAGAGCAGCAATAATCAATGGCTATCAATCTGCCCTGTGAGGAGGGAGAGAGCGGAAAGAGCCACTGCTCTCGTGCACAGTGCTGGATCAAGCTCAGATTCAGGAAAGTATAAGGGGAAGCTCGGGGGGGGGGGGGGGGAATCCTGTGGCACAGAAGGTTTGTACCTTAATGCAAAGAATGTATTAAGGTCAAAAAACCTTACAGCATATGTAAACCTGACATTTCATATTCCTGATATGTGCCTGCTATACCTTTTACTTGTATGAAAAAGTATCCTGTTTTTTTTGTATTGCCTCCTTTGTGTGAAATACCTGGTGTTCCTGTCAGTCCCTCTGCTTTTCTATTTCAAACAGACCACAGTAGGCATGAGAGCACAGTGTGGTCAGTTTTCTAGCTGTGCTGGAACTCCGCTTGCTCTCCACCAATGTGGAATTCTGCTGAAATGCCCCATTTGCACAGTCAGTCACTGGAAAGATCAGTGTTCTGCTGTTTTTCCTCGCCCAGCTTCTTATACAGCTGAGATGTAATAACTTATAAAAAAGAGTGGAAAAGATATTTATAATGTTTTTATATGTTTACATACATTTTTTGTCTTTCATTTCTATTTTAAACAGGATGGGTTGTGTTACAAGGTGAGGGTTTACATATACTTTTAGCCTTTATAACCACTTTAACTAGATGATGTTTAATTTTCTAAAAGCATGGTGCATCAATAACAATTGCCATGTTTTTTCTTTTAGTAAATATTGTTGTCATCTTTTGCAGCCCATTTGTAGACATTTCTTCCAGATACTCACCATAGCTTAATATGGGCTTATTGATGGTGAGAATGGTGGAACATGCCTTTCACGGCTACCATTTATACAGTAGTCACCACCAGAAGCTCATGTGAAAAGGTGACAATACAGGAGAGCAAGTGAAAGACAGAGACCCTAACAGAAGAAATGCCTAAGCAAGCACTTTTATGGGAAGATCACTAGATATTTTAGAAAAAGCTATATATTTAAAAAGATGAAAATGACTTTTACAATATATTCCCATGTTAAATCCTATGAGATTTTAGTGGTTGAGTTATTATTATTATTATACAGGATTTATTTAGTGCCAACAATTTGCACAGCACTTTACAATGTAAAAAGGAAGACAGTACAGTTTATAATACAATATAAGGGGGTGAAGAGAGCCCTGCTAATATGAGTTTACAATCTAATAGGGTGAGTTTGCATACATGCAGTACTTTAAACATGTTGGTATGAAGAAAATGTTGTTCCTGTGAAGCAAATTTTGTAGTATGATAGAAAATGTCTACAGCTACCATAGTGCATGTTAATTAAAGTTTTATCAGGCTCTCCGATTATCATAAATGTAATTTAATTTTGCATTATTATAAAAAAATTGGCACAGCCAGCATAAAACTAGAACAAATCAGTTCACTGCAAGAGACGATTGTTAGTTTTTGTCATTTGTCACACATAGGTGACTGGGTAGTCATGAGTTGATATGTTTAATGGAAAGTGATCGTCCATGAAAAGATGACTCACCATGGTAGCTAAAGCATTACATGTAAAATGATGTACTACATCTGCTATAAAAGTAATGCATCTTTAATTTGCTGATTGCCAGCTGATGTTCCTGCTGCTCCCCTAATGTAGGATTTGGGAAAAATGTGTATGCCTATAGTGGAAGTGAAAAGAAACCAAA